CTATTTTTGTTCAAATATCAGATTTACATTCAACAGTGATATTTGGCTTTGTCTAAATCACAGCCAAACACTGACTTTGATGCTCCACCATCAGCATTTAGTCAAACTGAATTAATTCTGATCTATGTTCTGATATATGGTCATGCAAAGGAAGATGTGTGTGCATGTGTGTGTGTGTGTGTGTGTGTACACGTGTGTCTTGAGGTAAGTATGTTGAAAATGGAACAAAGCCAGTATCTGAAAGTGAAGATCACGTATGATTTTTATTTTCCATTTATTATTTTCCATCATCTCTAAGATTTTAAAACTTGGAATATGATGCTAATGATGGGGTATGGGGGAAACACAGATGATGGACCTGAAAGTAAATGAGCAGCTCCAGACACAGCCCAGCATGCAGGCTGCTCAGAACTGGGAGCTGGAAGTTGAGGAGCAGTACAGAAACCAGCGGGTATGAAATCCAGTAGCCAGCAGGGCTGCACACACTCAGGTGGAGCAGAAGGGGCGGTGCTGGGAGGGGAGGCAGGACTGGAAAGTGAAGTAGCAACCAAGTTCCAAAAATTGTGACCACATTTAGTTTTAGACCAATAGCAGCTGCGCATGGTAAACAACCTAGAATACTAGGGAAGCACAAAGAATGGGAGGATGAGACCAGATAAGAGGAGGGGAAAACGTGAGATGAGAGAGACAGAGAGGGTGAGACTGTAGCAAAGACTGGAGATTAGTTATTTAAGGTAAGGGACACACTGCCCCCAGCTCAGAAGACAGGGCAAGGAACAACTGTAGCCAGAGAACATGCAGCGCTCTCTGGGAGCTACACTGTGGCTGTCTCAGCCACCTCATGACTTTGTGATACCACTGGGCAGTGGGAAGTGAGTCCTCACTTCCCTCCCCAGCACAGCGCCAGACCCTGTGTACTGGGGAAGAATGGAGCCATGAGCTCAGGGAGAAAGGACTAGCGATCAGGACACCCAGGACACATGGCCGAGTGAAAAGTGATTGGCAGGAAAATCACACATACTGCGGCCCTCTTGGTTATCATCCAAGAAAGCGTGCCTTTGCAGGACAGTGGGATAAATACTAAACCAGAGAGCATGCAGACATTAAAATCCCAGGCATACATGGAAACTGAGTAACTGGGGACAAATGTCCATTCTTCACATGGACTATTGGCCCCTGTGAAGAAACCAACTACCTTCTTTCCTGCTTCCAGGACTGGATAAATCATGAAGCAAGCACAGCCCCGCCACAGCAGCAGGTGGTTGTACCCTGGGGATATGACTGGCTAATTGAGACCCCCAAACCACGCAGCACCCCAGCACATTTCACTCACACTGTAAGGAGGTAATGGTGACAAGGACGCATGGTTACAGCCTGTGCATCTCTGTCCCCAGGGCGATAAGCTCCTGAGGGCCCTGGCAATGCCTATTCCTTTTTGTGATGGAATTGCCACACCCTTCAGTAATGGCCATGTTTCCCTTGTTGCCACGTTTGGGGTTAAGAGGATCTCACAGAAGGGAGTTCCTGGAAGCCTCAGACCCCAACTGCTCTTCTGGGCAGCGTCTTACCCACTGGCACCCTGCCACCCATCAGGAACAGAATCCTCGCACAAGAGTCAGCTACCTCCCAACTCATACCCATCTCCAAGCCTTCAGCTGGGGGGCTGGCAGTGAAGGGGTGGACCGAGGAGGAGGGGACTTGGGATCGTGTTCAGGCTTCCTGTGCAGGCAGCTGAGGATATCCATTCACAGTGCATGCACAAGCCATAGCATTGTAAGCAGGACACACTGGCCTGCATACAGCTCTTTAATGGGAGTCAATGGATGGATGAATTTCACTCTGAGTCCAGGTGCTGCCCAGAGGAACAGACAAGGTTGGTTCTTGGTTATTCAGCTATAATCAGTATCGAGTGATCAATGGGAGCACCAAAGCTGTCTCTGAAGCTCACATCCTCCATGTCTGACTGGCAAGGCCTAGAGGGCAAATCTTTGTAACTGCCTCCTGTGTGGAAGGAGACAGGGGCCAGGCCTCTGAGCAGAGGAGTGTGGCCAGGGTACACAGTCAGCACTGCACAGGAGGCGGCTGCTCTTAGAGCCTAGGGAACTGGGACAGTGAAAGCCAAAAAGGAAAGAAAATGGTGTATTACACTACTGACTTCCACATTCCAGGAGGCAAAGAGAGCTCAGGGAGAGTGGCACCTGGGGGCAGCAATAGAGTGTCCAGGGCAAAGCCAGGATGAAGGAGGGCACCTGGAGGTGACTGGTGGGGCGGCAGGATGTTGGATGGGAGTCCTCCCTGGCAGCTGGGTTTCGGGCTGAGTGAGGAGGGTGAGCACACCGAGTCCTAGGGGTTCACCTGAGCAAAGAATCTGGGGCTGGGGCTCAGGAGCAGACTTGGGGACAAAACAGGAGAAAGTGGCTGTGGACAGCCCTACCTTCCATGTGCCTCACCAGGGCTTCAGAAAATTCATGGAAACCTCCTCACCTACCTTAATCTAAGCTCCTGGGTCCAGCCATTCACACCCAGAATCCTACGGCAGATGGCAGATGCCCCCTCTCTCTTTCCTCCAGTCCTTTCCTTTGTTCCCACATGGCCCTTTCCCTGTAGTGTCCCCTGTCCTCCCAAGCCCACTTTCAGCTTTTCTCTCCATCCCTGCTTTCTGTTCCTGCATCCTTGCTCTCTGGACATTTCCGACTGCTGCCGATTCTCGGCCTTCCCTGGTCCCGACACACAGGAACACACAGACTCACACCTCACATGAACTTCCCTCTCCAGGTTCCTTCTCTGGTTTTGTTCCTCTGGCCTTTGTTTCCAGCTTCAAGATTTCAGGTGCAGCTCTGTGCTAGCATTAGGCTCTATGTGAAGACTAATGTAATAAAGAGGATTTGCCATAAGAACCTACAGCAGGGAAAGGCAGTTTTGTTACTCTCACGTGGGCACCCAGAGTGACCCTGTCTATTGGAGACAGACAACACCTCTACTTAGGACATCTAAAACGGGAACAAATAGAATGTCATTCTGTAAACACAATTCTTTCCACAAAATGTTTTTTTTCTAAAGAGGAAAAAAAATACAAACATTTCCCTTGTTTACACAACAAATTGATTAAGGAAATCACATATCTTTCTGTAGATACAAATTCCCAGCAAGAAGTTTTATGGAACAAAGTGGTTTCCTTGTTGAATATATTCCTTGATGAACATATTCATCCATCATTCAACAAAAACGTTTTGTGTTAAATTTTAAACACTGAATTACTCTACAAATATAAAATATGCAAAATACTAAAGCTGTTTACATGCAAGGCATTAAAATCGCTTTTCTTGTCAAAGTGACTGAGGTATTATTTTTACACTTCTGGTACTACACACCAAATGGGACCTGTCCCTCATGGCTCAATTTCTGCTGGAGCCCAAAGACTTACAGGGTGGAAACTGGAGCTTTGAGAGAAGAAACAGGCTGCAGAATTGCCCAGAGGCACAGGATGCTTGGGCAAGTGATGGTGAGACCCAGCTTCCATTTACAAATGAGGACACAGGATGCCGAGAGCTCACGGGACACCACAGTGTCTCCTCCGAGTCTTCAGCTCAAGCCCAGGGTGCCCCTCAAGCTGCACCACCTACATAGGGGACCAGCAAACTCTGCTCCAAGTTTGCAGGCAATCTGGTCTCTGTGGCAACTACTCAGTGCTGCAGCTGAGGTGCAAAAGCTGCCATGGACACTATGGAAATGATGGGGTCAGCTGTTTTCCAACTTAAAGCACTGAAATTTGAACTTCATGCAAGTTTCACATGTCATGAAATATTCCTTTGGTGTTGTTTTTCCCCATCCATTAAATGTAAAAATTATTCTTGGCCTATGGCATATATGAAAACAGGAGGCAGGGCAGATGCAGTCCATCAGCCGTAACTTGCCAACTTCTGCTCTCAGTCTCAGGCACCAGAAGACACAGGAAGAGGGGGAACCATCTCCCTCTGCACCACCTGCTGCGCTCAGCTCCAGAGACATGGGATGCAGTGTCCCTGGTCATCAGGTCCACATCCCACAGCATGGACACAGACACTGCACACTGCCCCAGAGGAGAGAAGCCCCAGCATCAGAGGCTGAGCTCAGGAGACAGCAGCATCCAGTCTCCAGAGAGTAAAGCCCTGCTGGGGACTGTGGTCAGTTTGGGGAGGGAGAGTTTATGGAGGGGATTATCCCAGAAGCCAACAAGGTGAGGACCTGGCCTGTGTCCCCAGCACAGGACTGGTCAGAAAGGTGTTTTGAATGCATAGAATGTGCTCCTCTAAACAAAATAAAAGTCAACAGCAGCAGAATCTTCCAATTCACAGACCTCACCCTCCTCAAAACAAAACAAAACAAAACAACAACAAAAAAACTACCCAATGAGAGCTAACCATGCCCTTTCCTGTCCCTCCTTTCCTTAGCTCTCGCTTCTTCCCTGCAGAAGCCATGGTAAAGGGGGCAATGGAAAAGCCAAATTTTGCTATGAATCCTGGTGGCAGCCTGGGGCTGCTGTGATTGCTATTGCATTTATCCCACTAAGACAGTACCCTAAACCCAGCCCTACTCCAGCTGTGATCAGAGTAGAAAACACAGGGACTGGCATGAGCATGGCGCAATGGGGCTCCACCAATCATCCATTCACCCTAAGAAGAAGCCCAGACCTCAGGAATCTTCTACTGAGGCCACAGAAGGAACCAGGTAACCAATCACATCTATCTTTTTTCTTTATTCATGCGCTCAATAAATGGTATTTTCTTCTTTCTGAAATGTCTAGTTCTAAGGAGTACTTAATTCAACTAAGCATTGTGGATAGATGCAGGAGCTTAAAATAGGTAGTAAGTCACAGAACTTGGCCCTCTGAGGTTATCCTGGGGCAGTGCAATCTTCATGGAAAGGGGGGAAAGGAACGCAGCCATTTGTTTTTCAAATAAAACAACAGCCATTTGGGGGCCATGCTTGCAGAAGAGTGTGGCATGTTTAAAAAGTCAAACCCTGCACATCACTCCAGCTCTTCAGAAGGACATTCTTGTCATAAGCCATCTGCAGACATTGCTGGAGTCCCTGAAACAGAAGCAAGACTTCTCTCAGCAGATTTTCAATCACAAAACAAAAACAAAAACAAAAACAACTCCACTGTGCCAAGACTTGGGCTCGAATAGTTGGATATGGCCTAATATCCTAAGCTATTCTGCAAAAATGTTTTCAGGATAGATTTTTATTTTCCTAACTCATTTGTTGAATATCATATCAGATCCTTCAACTTCAACTCTTTTTGCTACAAACAAGATTTCTTTTGCACAAGGAATTGTACAAAACTCAAGCCAGATTCTTAGCAACCACAGGCATAGACAGCTCCACTTTAACATCTTTAAGACATAGTTTTCAGTGCTTTCTGGAGGCCTGAGTTTGTCGGATAAATGAGAAATCCATTCTTTGTTTATGTGAGGGTTTTTTTTTTGTACCAGAGATCAAACTCGGTTCCTTACGCTTGTGAAGCAGGTGCCAGAACCACTGAGCTAAATCCCCGGCTCTATGTGGGGTTTTTTTAGGGCTCTTTTGGAAGAAAACATTAAAAGCTGTTTTGTCAATAAACCAAGGAAAAATTATGACTCAGACAACTGAAAAGAACAGTTTCCAGGCAGCATAGAACATCAAGAATCTAAGCCCTTTGGTCTCCACCCACAGGTAAAATTCTACCTGACTCTAATAGATCAAAAGATGCTATACTAAAACCACAGTTGCTGGCAGTGCCATGGCCAGGGTGCCTGTGATGATGCTCAGAGAGGACAGCCTCACCAGGAGAGGGGCTGCCACACAGACTTGACACAGCCACGCTGTCATCCTGCCAAGCTGGGCGAGCCCTGGACACCTCTGCAACATCTACTCAATAAAAACAAGAATGAGACATCACAGAACGAAGCTTTGGGGGAGTGGTATGGAAAAGAATGGACACACAGAAGGACCTTCAAACACCTGTGTCTGTTCTGTGCTCTCCACCCTCTTGTGACAATGCTAAGAGCCTGGTGTGAGGCCTGACCCCTCTCACTCAGGCCCACCTGGTTCCAGGAGTGGACACACCCCCAGGTCTGCTCACTTAGGGCCCAGTGCCCACTGGCAACCGATCAGGATGTCATGCAGCCATCCTGCAGAAAGCAGTGTCCAGGTCACGATGGAGGTGGTGATCAGGGCTGGAAACAACCAGTGCTTCAGGGGCACACACACTGTCAGGTGCCGCCCTGTGCACCTGGCAAGCAACCTCCCATTCCACAGCACTGCTGCTCAAGGTACACAGTCGTGCCTCATCGACATACAGGTGAGGAAACCAAAGAGGCCAAGTCACCTGCCTAAGGTCACACAGCTCGACTGAGCTGAAAGTGTGCAAGACAACACATATTTGATTAGAAACTAAAGTTTTTAATCACATAATACAAATATATCTGTTAGGGACACATTCTCTTTTTAATTCTATTATAAATTACAAAAGCAAAAAAGCTAGAAAATATGATTACATAAAAAGGATAATTAGGTTAACTCTTCAGTACATCCAATTCCACATCCTTTTCCAAACATATAGAAATACAAATAAATATGGACATTATAAAATGAATAGGATCATATGTACACAGAGAATTTACTTATTCCACATAATAAATCCTGGAGATTTTCTTGTTGGTAAAGCAGAATGTATCATCACTGGAATGCCTAATTAGTAGGTCACTACTGCACACAGTTTTTATTCTATTGCTTTCATTTAGTTTCCATTATGTCACTGCTGCACATTTATATTGCTCCCACCTTCACAAACAACACTACAAAATAACTTCTCCATGACATTTTTCTCACTCTATTTTCTTAAAATCAACTGAATTACTGAATCAGTGTTCACACATTTACCACCACAAGAAATGGTGCACTAATTTCTATTCCCACCAACAGTGTACAGACATCTGATGAACACAAGATATTACAGTGGTTTCTTATTTGTTGCCAAACTGATGGGCAAACATATACTTCTTTCCTTTTTATCTTACTAGTTCTGTTTTTGTCTGTGGGATGGAACACAAGGGTGACTCATCACGGAGCTATATTCCCAGTCCCACCCCCTTTCCTTTCATTTTTAAAATTTTGAGACAGAGTCTCTGTAAGTTGCCAGGCCTGGCTTCAAACCTGCCATCCTCCTGCCCCTTCCTCCCACATAGCTGGGGTTACAGGCGTCCACCGCACCACTGCGCCAGGCTTCTTTATTATTAGTAAAACTAAACATGATTTTGTGTGATCACTTTTTATGTATTTTTAGTTGCCTATTTCTGTCTCACAGGGATGCTTCTCTTAAGGTGTCGAGCTTCTTTTTATTGTCTACACGCATACTCACTCAACATACACAGCCACAGACATACATAAAAGCATTTGACATTAACTCATCATACACAGAAATACTCTCTTTCTCCACTGTCATTTAACTTGGCTTGAGTCGGTTTTTAAAATATAATTTATGAAAAATTTTAAGGCACACAAAACAATAAAAATTTATATAAATTTCAACCTTAAGAAAAAAAATTACCTACACAAGCAGAGCTGTAAATGGAATCCCCATTATATTTTAAATGTCTTTTATAAACTACATATGGATCTATTTTTCTAAAAATTTAATTTGACAACCTGTGTTTTCTATCCCAGAAAAAGTAGTCCATTGTATTGGGACTATTTATATATCCAAATTTATTTCTATCTCTTCTTTTTCACTATTTGTCCCATTTTTTTGTTGTTTCCTTTCTTTGTTGTTATGGAATTGAGGGGTGAGTTGTTCTCTATTTGTTGTTCTACCTGTTTGGAAATTATTTACTCTATGCATTATAATTCTAAAATATTATTATCCATACATAGCAAAGCTTTAGTAGTTCTGAACTATGTAGTTCCTTCTGATCACCTCACATGGTGTATGCTGTTATCATTCATAGTCATTGATCTTCCTTCCTAATCTAGCAGCTTCCATGGGGATCACTGACCATCTTCTAGAAGTAGACCTTCAGAAATCCCTTTAATGTGGTCCTAATTCTCTTGATTTGCTTGTCTGAAATGTATCTTTCCCTCTCACTTCTCAAAGGTAAATTATCTAAGCACAGAGCTCCAGGTCTGCAATTCTTCTCAGCTCACGTGGTCTCCCAGCTGCACTGTCACACCGGGAAGTCATTCGTCTGTCTAAATCCCATTCGAAGGTAGTTAATCCATCTGTCGCTTCTGATTTTAGGATTTTCTCTTTGTCTTTGGTGTTCTCTGTTTGTACTCCATTCCATTTAGGTTTGGATTTTTTATGTCTCTTGCTTAGGATTTATTGTAGCTCCTGAATCTCGGAGTCAGTGACTTCCCTTCCTCAAACAATGCCCACCCTCCCCATGATCTCGTGTCAGAGCATAATTCTGTTTCATTGTCTCTAAACCACTCTTTCATGTTTTCTACCCGTCTCTCTGCTGAGTTCTCTGTAATGTCTTTCTCTCTGCCTTGTGAGTGACTAGGTCTCTACTCCCCTGTTCAGCAGCTGCCTGACTCGTGCACCAGTTCCCTGATTCTGTTCACTTTTCAGTGCTGTCAGTCCCTGCAGCCCATGTGGCTGCCTTTGGTTGGACCCGCGGACCTGGCGGTAAGCCTCACACCAGGAACCACAGTTAACAGATGACCAGCTTCAGTCTAGTTTTCCTGAGCTGTGTGAGACCCACGGTGCCACAGCAACCTGAGAGGAAAGATACACCTTCCCCACAACAGAATCTGGAGGAGATGAGGTGGGTTTAAATTGATAGAGAAAAAGAAGCAGCGAGATGGCTTCACACTCAACCATGCTCAGAGAATTCATCCCAGCTGCACTGTGTCACTCAGGCATTGTTTCAAAGCTAGTGAGTTATAGGTCAGAAATAAACTTTTCTGTACTGTTTTTTCCTGGTACTGGAGATAAATCCCGGTCCTTCGCACTGAGCCATGTCCTCGGCCAATTTTAAATTTTATTTTTTTAAATTGTGAGACAAGGCCTTGCTAAGTCTCTAAATTGCTCAAAGTGGTTAGAAACTGAGGTCTTCTTGCCTCAGCCTCCCAGAGAGCTAGGTGGTATGCCCCACCATGCTTGGCTCCATGGGATACTTTGTGACATTTTCACAAATGTTAACACTAGGACCACAGCTTTCTTTTTGTATGCATTGGCCTGAGGGACCATTCCAAATCCTTTTATTTATTTTTAAATCAAATCACTTTTTCCAAGGCATAAATAGCAGCACCTAATGACATATGCTAGGTTTTGTTGTTTCTCCCAATTGCAGAATCTTCTTTTAAAAGAAAAAGTTAATCTAAATGTTGCTTTTGAAACCCCTTTTTTTTCTCAGTGGAAAACAGCACAAGAATAAGACTTCACCTCTCTTCTCTCCTAACACCCCTTCGAGGAGCCCTACTTCGTGACATGAATAAGCCAGTCCTGGGGAAAGAGGCTGGACAATTGCTTTCTTAAAAATTGGACTTTCTCAAAAGTAATCAGGGGCCTAGGAGGGGAAATGAGAGAAAAGATCAGAGATGGAGATCAACTGACAGAACTGAGAGAGGTCTCTCTCTAGAAAGAGGAATTTACTTTTAAATTTGTTTCAACTCTGAAAGTCATAGTTTCTAGATTGAAAGACCCACTGAGCACCCAGCAAAACAAAGACAAAGAGGACACAGAGAAGCTCTGAGGGGTAGAAGATCCTAGTGGTGGGGTGGGCGGCATCCCAAAGGGAAGGGTCCAATGGCCCCCAACTTCCACCAGAACCACAAGATACAAGGGCAGAAGAGACACACTCAACACACCCAGGGACACCAGTCTGCAGCCTGGCATCCTACAGTCACCTGGCAACCGGGCAGGAAGAGGGCAACACAAAGACAACTTCAGACAGGAAAGGATGCAAAAAGTTTCTCTTATACACAATCTTAGGCCGTTTCTGCAAAGAGTTCCAGAAAAGTGAGAGTTAACCGAGAAAGGGGGAAACAGGATCCAGGCTGCCTTCGGATGGAGCCTGAGTCCCAGGACCCACTCTTGGGAGAGTGGG